CTGATGCGCTCAGTCAGAGAGTGTTCGGCGAGTGAAAATATATCTGAGCTAAACTTATACTTGGCCTCCAACTCACACACTGGCGAGTAAAATCTGAGAATTGATTAGCAATTGGCTAATATTAGACATCATTTAGTCGCCCAGAGTGAATATTTATTCGCATATGCGAGTGATTTACTCGCTATGTAGAGGGTTGCTTTTACAGTTCGGTGTATGTGATATGACGCTAGTTTTACTCAAATCAAACGCTAAAATGCTCATGAAGTGACTCTCAGAGCAGTTCTGGAGATGTTGTTCATGTGTTTACGTCCTCATTTAGTGAGGCGGCAGACGCTGAAATCACCGCGAGTGTCACGCGCGCTTCAGTGTGTGTGTAGTAAATGAAAACGCGCGTCTGCGCCATTCATTAACAGAGACATGCAGAACATGCAGGATTCATATTTAAATCGACATTTGCGGCTTAATATTTACAGATACTAGTCCATGTCGTGATTTGATTTAAGTGTAATGACCTACTTTTGATTAATTCATTCAAAATTTGACAAATTAAACTGTGAATTCTGTTTTTTTGACTGGATAAAGACTACACTTTTTCCCGCTTATTATGCGGCCACTTGCCTGATGTAACATAAAATATCTTACATCTTCCTTTGTGCAAACTGGCTTTTTCAGACAATATGTGAGTTCAGGTTGTAATTGGTGACTTTATCTGCTCTTTCAGGATGACCAAGGAGGATGAGAAGGTAATTCCTGTGAGGGTTGTGATGAGATGCCGGCCTTTGGTTTCCAAAGAGATCAATGAAGGATGTCAGTGCTGTCTCACTTTTGTTCCCGGTGAACCTCAGGTCTGTGTCATGAGACCTTGCCTATTTTATTCACATTTATGCGTCAAAAAGTCATGTTGTTAAATATTCATTAAATCTTGTTTTCCTTTTAGGTGATCGTGGGAAATGACAAGGCTTTCACCTATGATTATGTCTTTGACCCCACAACAGAGCAGGAGGAAGTATTTAACACTGCTGTGTCTCCATTATTGTCAGGGCTTTTTAGAGGTTTGTAAAGCAGTCCTGCTAGAATTTTTGATACTTTTTCCTCCTGATTTTTGCAGCCCAAAGTGGCTAAATTTGGTCACACCAGCATGGTGTCAATGTTAACATCAGCATTTGTTGAAAATACACAATCAGTTGTACAGCGCCACTGAATCAGTACAGTGTATGTTCCGTGACACTAGTTGTTGCAGCCCTATTTTAAATCTACTGCATACAATCAATCGAAAAAATCGATTAATATCGATTATGAAAATCATAGACAACGATTTTCATTATCGATTAGTCAGGTCTGCCCTCAGTGCACGTCCAACTTCAGCAGGTTGCGTCAAATTACAGCACTGAATTACACATTTCTATGGACAAAATGCATCTAAAAATAGTGGAGGAAAGTATTTTTAATTTTAATGAATACAATAATTTACACTCTGTTATTATTGCATCCTGTTAATGTACAACAATACTGCGGTGCAAATAGTTTGTATCTGCCAGTATAAAGTATAAATAGCATCTAATTTTTATTTACACTTATTGCAAAGAACTGCTACTTTTAGATGGTAAATAGAAGATATCACTATTTTCAATAAGTGTAAATGGCATCTAGAGCTGATCTTATCCAGCTTTGTTTGGAGCTCTTTTTGTCGGAGAAGACCAGGCAATATTGTGTCTAAAGTGTAACTCACTCAATATTACCTTCTTGTTTGTTGAACTCTTTAAAATCTATATCACATTTGCGGTCATGCTCACATGCTGATATTCGGAAAAACGGTACTCTTGCTTGTGTGTTTTTATGTAACTGTATCATATCTCATAAGTATAAAATACAAAAAACAAAATAAATCACTTTTACGGACTTTTAAATTAAATGTTCCCTCCTGGTGGAATGACCTGCCCAACTCAATCCGAGCAGCTGAGTCCTTAACCATCTTCAAGAATCGGCTAAAAACACATCTCTTCCATCTTTCTTTGACCCTCTAACTCTAGCACTCTCTATTCTAATTCTATTCTTTTTTTTCTATTCTATCTGTTTTCTTTTTATTTATTATATTATTTAAAAAACCCTTGCTACTTGTACCGCGTTAAGCTAACTGAGACTTGTTATAGCACTTGTATATCATTGCTCTTTTGTTGATTTTGATTGCTTCCATTGTCCTCATTTGTAAGTCGCTTTGGATAAAAGCGTCTGCTAAATGACAATGTAAATGTAATGTAATGTAAAAACCCATACAGGGCTATTATTTGCTTTCATAACTAGAATTCTAGGGGCATTCTAATTGAATTCATCATGCAGTGAGTACTTTTGGACTCAACATATCTTTGCTTTTTTGCAAAAGAAAGAAATTGTGAAAGAAATTTCACAAATGTCTTTCTTTTTTTTTCTTTGTTTGCATTTTTTGTTTTGTTTGCAGGTTATAATGCCACCGTTTTGGCCTATGGGCAGACAGGGTCAGGGAAGACATTCTCTATGGGTGGCACATACACATCAGAACAAGAGAACGAGTCCACGGTTGGGGTTATCCCACGAGTGATACGAAGAATCTTTCAAGAAAAGTCTAAATGTGCAGACTGTGAATTTTTGTTGGCTGTATCTTACCTTGAGGTATAAATGCTTCTGTACCATCTTGTTCTCCTTTATGGATTTAATTTATGATTGAAGTCATTCATTTTGTGTAACTCAATGGTGTTATTCTTTTTAAACTTAGATTTACAATGAAGAGATCCTGGACCTGCTGTGCACATCAAAGGACAAACCCATCATCAGTATCAGAGAGGATCCTAAAGATGGCATCAAAGTATGTTTTACAACTTCTAATTGGGAATGGGTGATAAAATAATACCAGTTTACCTAAATGATAAGCATTGCCATTTCTGTTGCATATGAGAAACATTAAACTGCCAATGCACCAAAAGCAGAACCAAACAGAGCAACTCGTTTGAACCATGCCACACACACATTTAGCAGCTCTGCTCAAAAGACAGCACAGCGCAAGCTCAGAGAAAATGCATTTACTTGCAGACAGTCTCAATCACACAACCACTAAACAGTGCTATGGCATCCAGTGAGAAGAGTTTGAGTAGGGCTGGGCGATATGGCCAAAAAAATTATCACAATGAAATTTTTCATATCAGTCGATATCGGGGGGGTGGACTCCTTTTTAATGGTTAAATTAAATTTTATTAGTCAAAAAGCATGTCTACTTAATTAAAATCATGAAACTTAAACAATTTAACTTCAATTTATTAAAAGTTTAACAAATATTACATGTTTAGGGCCCTATGAAATGTTTTATTTTTTCCAACCTTATGTTTTATTGTTACCACATTCTGTTTTAGCATGTCTAATTATTTGAAAGCATAAAAACAAGTTTCACTTATTCTTACAATAGATTTTTTGCTCCGAAATTCTGTGTTGTGTATTTATATTTTAAGGCATAAAACATTAATTTAATCTATCTTTTAAGTAATGAAAATTAAACAAATTTAATTTTTTGGAAAATAAAGGTAATTTAATATTACAATTAAAACATTGAAGAAATATTGTATGATTATTCCTTAAAAATAAGGTTTTAATAATTTTAGTAGTAGTAGTAGTAGCTGCCTGTTATGTACATTCTACTGAACATAGTAATATATTTCTGCCAATGCCTTCAAGTTAAACCGAACTTTTATTTTGACGGGTTGCAGTGAATACCTTTACATTTCTGTGTGTATATGATATGAGGATAGTTTTACTCAAATGAAACGGTCAAATGCTCATGAAGTGACTCTCAGAGAAGTTCTGGAGATGTTGTTCATGTATTTATGTCCTCATTTAGTGAGACGGCAGACGCTAAAATCACCGCAAGTGTCACGCGCGTTTCAGTACGAGTGGTAAAAAAACCCCCGCACGTCTACGCCATTCAGACACAGAGACACGCAGAATTCATTTAAATACGAATCGTTTTGTGGCCTAATATTTGCTAGGGCTGCCACTAACGACTATTTTTATTTCGATTAATCTATCGACTAATTTGTCGATTAATCGATTAATCTAAACTATTAATTTCCCACAAAAAATCAACAATTTTACTTAAGAATATTTTATTAAACTATTTTATTAAACCAAATGAAATCCAAATTTCTATGAAATCCTCTTTTTAAAGCAAAAGTAAAGTGCAACATAGAGTGCAAGAAGCAAGTGTCCATCTCATAGTCCAAATCACTGAAATCAAAGTTCAGTATTATAGTGTAAGAATGACAACACATTAAAATGGAATCCAGAAAATAATGGAAAACCGAATTTGGTAAAAATAAAACTGTAAAACTAAATTAATTAGACAAGCTTTTTGATTAATAAAATTCAATTTAACCATTAAAACGGAGTATAGAAAAATGAAAACGGAAAAAAACTGAATTTGGAAATAAAACGGATTTCATAGGGTCCTATAATTATAATTATTTTTTTTGTGGTAATAAAAATAGATGAAAATGAACAATAGCCTTTAAAATTACTTAAAATACATATATAATAGCAATGAGGCAATAATAATTAGTTCAAATAAAGTATCAAAAGCAAGAAATCATATAATTTTATTGAACAAAACTGTTAAAATACATAATGTTTTATAAATAATAGAGCTAATGTACATTACGCATTACAACAAAGGCCCGCAGAGGGCGCCAACGGCATAATGATTATTTTTACACATTGCTGTGCGATCTAATACTTGTTTAATATTAACCAAGCACCATTTAATTCAAATGTCCACTTAATCTTTAATATTTGGCCATTTCTTTAGGCCGACGAATCGCGACAGCCCTAATATTTACAAATTCTAGTGGGAGTGGGAGTGTGCTCACTTGTGAGTGTGTGTGTGTGTGCGCGCGCGCTCATCGGCTGTGCGTGATGCAGAGAGCGCGACCATAACGTAGAGACCGAAAAATGGCAGGGGAAACACTGGTCAGGGAGTCCGGGGTGGAGATGAAGAGTCTTTTATTAATGTCCCTTACTAGTCAAGTGTCAGATGAGAAGTGACCCATGAGAAAACAAGAAGTGGCCAAGAACACAGAAATCACAACTACATATATATCCCTCTCTGCCTGGCCAAGCATTGGCGTACTTCCCAGTTCCCGGGTTCACACCATGTACTTGTTAATCATTTCTTAACAGAAACATAGTAGGTAGTTCAGTCTTGCATATAAAACTATGATTATATGTTACATAGTATTAGAAGAATAAAGACGGGAAATATTACAAGCATATATTTTCCTACAGTAATTAATTTCTTAGTTTCTGCATGTTCTAATGAGTGATAATGTTTCAAATCATGAAACAGGTTTGTGTTGCCTGACTTTGATGACGCGTATCTTCAGCACAGTGTGCAGTGCAGACTGAACTCTTAATATTACATTTTTTTTTGTCTTTTAGAAATGCACTTTTGACAGTAGCTTGAGTTGACAGTAGTAATAGCTTTATGTTCATTATCAAAAATAGTAACATCTGTAAAAATGGTAACAACCTGATTTTTATATGGTGAAATTAAATTATTCTGACTGTTTGAGTTTTATTAAAATGAACCAATGGTCTTCCATAGTAGCATACATTTAGATTAGGGCTGTCAAAATGGCTGAAAAACTAAATTCGAATTTTGTACTTAAATATTATCAATATTTGAATTATATTCGAATTGAAAAGGCATAATTTCAGTTAGGGGGGAAAAAAGCTTTTGGCTTCTCTCCTGAGGCCACAAGATAGTGTATCGAACAAAATATTATGCACGTTTCTTCAAAGCATAATAAAATGACACGACTATCTTTGAAAAAAAGTGCATAATGTTTATAAACTTTATATAATTAAAGTTGCTTAAACAATTAGAAACAAAACAGAATCATGCATGTAAATATAGTTTAATACAAAGGACCGAAAACCAATCACAGAGTACTTTCTTCATTTAAAAATTTGATATGCAGTAGGATGGGGGAAAACCACCATAAAGTCTTGAGACATGTTTTTAAAAAGTTGAACTTACATTAATTTTACATGGCTTTCTAAACATGCCGCTCTCTGCGAGACGCGAGTGCAATGCTGATAGATGTCCCTCTAGAAAATTTGATAAATATGCGTTCTGTGTGAACGGTTTGGTTTCGGTTTTGACGTAAACAACATAATCTCCGCATTGATGTTCTTTTTTCCCCGCAATATTTTAAATGAACAACGTAGCAGCGCCGCATCTAGTGGGTTCAACTGGATAGGCTAACAAAAGCATTAAAATGCAATGACACTTACATCGTCATCGCATCTCGTGTGCCACTGATAATGCTGCCTGATGCACACCTAAAATTTGTGGATTTTTATTTTAAATTCGACGAATATTTGAAATTCAACTTTTTTTTGACAGCCCTAATTTAGATCATTATAACCACAGTTAAAACCACACATATTGCACCTCAATACCATGGTAAAAATTTAACTATATAGTTTTTAGGTATTAGTATTAAAAATGATAGTCTAAATACATTTAGTATAAATGCACAAACGCAATGGCTTAACGGAGGGTGGACGGATACAATTTTTTTTCTGAACCAATCCGATACCAAAAATTCTAAGTATCGGCCAATACTGATCTGATACCAGTGCAGTTTTTTTCTCTTTTAAATCAGTGTAGAATTTCTATACCTCAAAGTGTGTTGACTAGGCTTGCCGCGATAGACGGTGCTGACGGTGATACCGGTGTTAAGCTGCAACACCGGTTACGTCACTTGCCCACCGCGTCACCGACCCCCACCGTCGTTTTGATTTTTTAGTAGTAATAAAAATCATTTAGTTCAGTAAAAGAACAGACACTACAATTAAAAACTGAACGTTCAAACGAACTAAAAACGAACAATTGCTTTACTCCAAATTGCCGCTATTTTAAAGTGAAAGTAAAATGCGCACGCAGCTTTTACAAGCTATTTAAAAGCGGAGGAAAAGAGGGAATGCTCCGCCCCCGCGGTGATACCGGTATTACCGGTGTTGTCACACTTCGATTAACCGATGGGAAAATTTCCTCACCGTCACAACCCTAGTGTTGACCTGATCATCACTCTTTTGTGTGTTAAACACTATCTACTAAATATTAGAGTTGGGGTACTTTGACTCTGACTCGAGTCCAGTTTTTTTTTTTTTACTGACTCCGATGCATTTTTACTCTGACTTGACTCAGACTCGAGCCTTTCGGACTCGGAAAATATGTCAGAGTCCAGGGACAGTTGACTGAAATGTCACTGACTCAATGCATTATCACGAAAGGGATATTCAGTATTTGCATATGTTTTTGAGTTTTGTCCAGTACTTGAAAGCCGATGGGTTTCTGTGCTCGCACACCAAAAGCGCGCTCACAGAATAACGCGCCTCTCAGTCAGTGTGCGAATGCCGAGTTCTTTCGCTTACGTTCTCTTAAGTTCTGTTATTGCTACACACTTACACGAAAAGTTATGTCAAAATGCCCGTCTTGGAGACTATTCATGTAAATGCAGTCGGTTTTGTCTTAAAGGAGTCATATGATGTTGCTAAAAAGAACATTATTTT